CTCGGCCTCTAGCTCGGCTGTCCTCTGTTGGGAGTCTTTTAGCTCGGTGGTTTTTGCTTCAACTTCGGCCATGGCTTGCCTTGCTGTTTTACGAAGCTCCAACACACGCTTGTGTGCAATTTGACTCTTTTGCATGGCCTAAAAAAGAATGGAAAGAAACTATTGACCAGACCGAGCAAAAAAGTTGGAAAAATTAGGGAGACCAGAGGGGCTACTTACCAGGATCATTGATTTCGTTGCTGACCGGATAGCCTTGAGCTCAGTCAACTGGTTGTGATGCTCCATATCAGGGGGCAGACATACACTCTTAGCCAGATTAAAGGCTAGCATATGGTCTTTGTCAGCCACCACTGAGTCAGTATCACAGATAGCGCGGTTTTGAAAAGTCATTTTTGGAGCCCACTTGGAGGAACTAGCCCGGTCAGAACGCTCCGACTGAGGGCTCGGTGGAGGGCTCGGTGGAAGGATGGTTTCATTTTTATCAGCAAGGCGTTGCTCGGTTTAGATAGTCCGGGCGCGTTTGCTTGGGCGTGATGAAGAGGGTTGTTGAGATGGAAGGGCCACTACTGTTTCCTGAATCTGGACTTGTGGTGGTACTTCGGCTCGATGGGTTTCGATTAAGAGGGCCCTTACTCTGTTCTTCTTCGCCATTTCTTTTTCTTCGGTAGTACGAACCAGGTTAATTTGTGGCAAGTTGGGGTCCGGTTCGGGAGAGGCTTCCAGTAAAAAGTCTGTTATTCTGGCTTTACGTCGGCTACTGTATCTGTACGTCGGCTCAAAATTCAGCAGCTTGGCCCAACTTCTTTCTAGATATCGTAATGCGGCGCGGAGAGCATTCAGATTGGGGTAACGGTATAGTGATTGAAAATGGGCTGAATCTGCATAAAGAAGACAACTGTTAGTTCGGTTTAGGAATAGGAAACCGAAATAAAATAGGAGTATGTAAAGGAACCAAAGTAATTATACCGGGTGTTCTTTTATTCCAGTTTATACTGCGGCCTGGGATCTGGGTTTGGTGGTCTTCGAAATTTCCAGATACCTAGAAAAAATCATCATCGTTTAAGTCTTTGTCCGGTGTGTTCTTTATTATTTTCTCACACCAGCGGCGTATTCTTAAATAATAAACCCACCCGTCTTCTTTTGAGCCTATAGAATATTGGTGAAATAGTTCAGCTAAACCGAGGTTAATACCAGCACGACGGTTTAGCTCGGCTATACCATTAATTATGCGGTATGAGTTTGTGGAAAGCTGAGTTGGGCATATCTCAGTTTGCCTAAGGAATTCACAAAGTAAGGGCTGTACAGGGAATCTTAGGCCGGTCTCTACAATTGAAAGGAGGGTGAAGGGAACAAAACCAAGGTTCCCCCAAGGTATGATATCTTGTTCGGCTAAGGTGAGATGGACGTCATCAGGGATGTTATACTCCCTTCGGAATTCGGCCAAGCCACTAGGTGTTTCTACTAAAAACCTATATTTACCCATTTACTCTTAAGTTATGTATAATTTAACTGTGATAGCTCGGTTAAAAAATGACGCTGAGTAGCTCGGTTGAGCGTACGAAGGAGTGCCTGGCAACCTAAGTCTGCAAAGTGAAAAAAGAAAGGGGTTATGCACAGATCGATGGATCGTGCTAAAAAGAAATCAAGGTAAAATAAATGAAGTCCTATTTCGATTATGTGAAGAACTACGGGTGTTAGCTCGGTTTCAGCAAGGGGTCTGTTAGCTCGGTTTCAGCAAGGGGTCTGTTAGCTCGGTTTGAGCAAGGCATTTGATAGCCCGGTTGAGCTTCAAGGGGCAGCTTTTTTAGTTTGGTCTGAACTTGGAAGGCTGGTTTAGCCCCTAGATTCAGCTCGGGCATAGTTAAAGTTTTCAAGGCTTGACTTGTTAGAACTACAAATATAGCAATAAAGAGTTAGCTCGGTTGGTTGGTTCGGCTAGACTGACATCCACTACAAACAACTTCCTAGTTCGGTTATATTGTGATTTTGGATCAAAACTAGTGTTTTTCATGTTATTTCTTGAATCAGAGGGGCTCTACTACTAAGTTTTTGCAGAAGATGCAAGACAAGGCAGAAAATGGAAGTAAAAAATGTTTTGCAAAAACACAAAAAACAAATGTTATGGGCTAAAAAAGTACAAAAGCCAGAAAAATAGAACAGATTTGTGTTACTCACCAAAGTAAGAGGAAGGAAAGGGAAGTAGAAAACAGCCACAAATGTAAGCTTCGCAAAATGCAAAACAATGGAGACGTAAGCAAGAGAGAGAACAAGAGGAGAGAAGATGAATAGTGTGGTGAGATTCAAAATGAATAGGTTTGTTTTGTTTTGTTGCAAAAACCAGAGGCGGGAACTGTTCAAAATTCACGAAGTACGAAGACGGCGTGACAACTGCCTTGGGCCAATCAGCGTATGCCACGTGTCATGGAAATGATAAGCGATTCAGTTGCTGTGATTGAAGAGACGTTTTGACCGGACAAGGAGAGCCCGGTGTGGAATTAGCTCGGCTGGGTAGGCTAAAAGGTTTTAGTTCGGCTGGAAAAGCTAAAGGGTTTTTAGTTCAGTTGAAAGGCTTAAAAACCTTAGCTCGGCTGGTAAAACAAGTAATCCCTATCATGCTACGCAGATGGAATTAAGGGGCAATTGAGAGGGTAATTTGTATGAATATTGGGCCGAGCTGGACAATGGGCCGTTATGGGCCACAGTACGAAGGGCTGAGTAAAAAGGCCTCAAATCCTGTCCGGTCCAAGCAGGACTTAAAGTTAAGACCGGTCCCAGAAGTGCATTGTTATCTCGGTCCGGGAGAGCACGGCAGTTCGGTCTCTGGATCACCACCCTCATAGTTAGTCCGGTCGCAGCATAGTACGGTTAGCCTGGTCGTGTCTTCTAAACCGAAGTATGATAAGCCTTCTTCAAGATACTTCTGTGTTAGTTCAGTTCGACACTTCTATGGATAGCTCGGTCTGGGCATGCGAAGCCGAGGTAGAAGCAAGGAAAATAAGAGGCGGACTGAAAGTTAGATCTGTCATACCTGCATATCTAGTAAGGCAATGGTATTTCGGTCCCATAGAAGTCTGACCATGGTAAAACCATCTCACGTGGTTTAAGCAGTGAGGAGAGTGTTGAAGGATAAGCATTATCTTTCAGGAGTATGAATCCTAGGAGGACTCTGCATGGAGGAGTAGAAGTCCTATTAGGACTATGCCACACGGAACCTATAAAAGCTCACAATATCACCTATGGAGAGGTAACAGAACTTTGATTCCTGAATACACAGAGCTTTTGTCTACTTGTCTATTTTGCTGGCTTAGGCATCGGAGAGGTTTCCAGCACACACCCGCCGGCTAGCTCACGTTTTTGTTTTCAGGGAGTAAAGCGACGGCGTTTGGAGGAGCGCAGACTTGATCAACAGGATTATACGAGAAGGTTTATTTATTTCTCGTACAATTTGGATATTAATATGTGAGCTTGAGATTTGGAGTGTTGGAGCTGAGGTAGGGATGTAATTGAAGACACAAGCTAAGAGAACAATCTGAGTTGTCCAGGTGGAGTGGCTGAGAGTTGGAATATTGGATATTAGTAACAGAATTAGTTAGTAGTTAAAAGATTGGTTAGTTTTCTCTGTTAGATAGAGTTGGTTATCCAGAGTGAGTATACATATACTGGGAATGGCTTGTATCTTCTTAAAATTTTAATTGGATCAGCCAGTTAAAATCTTTGACTATTAAGAATTATTAAACAAAAGACTCTAATCGGTAAGAGTTATTAAACAAAAATTCTTACCGATAAGAGTCTTTGAAAAAATTTAATTGGTTTGTGTTTTTATAAATTTTTACTAGTAAGAGACCTTTGTTTAAGGACCCTTACCAGTATGAAACATCAACTATCTGACCCAGGTGGAGACAATCCAAATCCTATAACTAATAGCTACATATGTAGTTGTTGTATCAAAAGGGATCTATCAATTGAATGAAGTATTTTCTCTAAAATCTCTTTGTTCTGTCCTTGTTTCTCTTCTCTGCTACCACTTGTTTCCATCGTTCCCTAATTCTCTTCTACTTTCTCTGTTAAATTTTTTGTCTTAATATTTCTAACTCTCAGCGAACAACCATCACTGTTGGGTTCAAGTTAGGAATATGAGAGAAACGTGCCAAGGGCAAGGGGTAAGTGGGAGACACAAACCTCCTTAAACATAACCTTTTACCTTAATATTTTCACCATTAGACCAAAATCATGATCTACAACTACTCTTGCTAACAACTGGCAACGTTGTCCACCACCACCACGACTTTTAGAGATGACAAAGGTGCAGAATAAAAATAGAGACAAAAAATTTAGGTACTAGATGTGAAAAAATGTGAAGTGCGTGACCATACAGATCTTTTGTATGATATGGGCCACAACTAAGAATGTGCGCGGTGCAATTTAGGTAGTTTGAGAATAAAATCAAAAATCGAACTATAGATTAGCAAATTGACGGATTGACAAATTGTAATTTGGGCAGATTGACGGATTGGCAAATTACGATTTGAGCGGATTGAAAAATATTCTAACCAATTATCAAATATTTATATAATATATAATACTAATTTGCATAAAATTTTTCACATATATAATACAAACTAATTTTACATAATATTTTTCATATATATAATTACTAATTTGTAACAAATTTCACATCTTAAATCTCTCTCACACTTATTTTTAAGTTGATTTTTCATTAAAAATTAAAATATATATATATATTAACTATAGCGGAGCAGAATAGTTTCAAAGGCGGATTATAAATTTTAAAATGCAATATGCAATTAACAGATAAAATGGTCTAAATTGATATAAATTGGTGCGATTTTAATTGATTAGGCGATTTTGTATACTGCCCTGACTACAACAATGTATCTGGATCACCTAACAAAGAAACATTCATGCACTTCATCCATTGCTGTAATATATTCTCAACTAGCAGAAAATAACAAAGCTCATGAAACAATAACAAAACCACAAATAATAATAATGAATTATTAATTGTAAAATATGAAGGGGAACATATAACTCAGGGTGAGTATCAGTTGTGAAATACTAGCATAAATAATAACTAAAAAAAACAATTTCTACACTGGGGTGATGTATCAGACTTCAAAAAACTGTGTCTGATAACATTTTATCTTACAAATAGTCAGTTAACACATGGATAGAATAGAATTCGAACCATTTCTGTCCACATCCTATACTCTACCTATATATATATATATATTAATAGTAGTTATAACTAGATATAGTCACTCTTGCAGCTTTGTAAGTAGCTACCACTACCAACATTGGTCCGTCTCCCACGTGCGTCGCGTGTAGCCGGAAAACCCCGAAGCCGACGGCGATCGCAGCCGGAAGAGAGACCGATCGTAATCGGCGCGTTTTTGGGGATCAGACAAGGTGGAATAAGCTGTGTGGATCCTGATGAACTCATCTGCGGACGTGTCTTTTTGACCGTTGGATGAGACGTCCGGATGCAAGACTCTAGCCAATCTACGGTACGCAGTCTTGATCTCTTGACAAGACGCGTCCATCTGAATCCCCAGGACATCGTATAGCGATGCTACTGATGTGGCAATGCCGTAGTGCGAGACGTGGGGCCTACTGGCCGCCGCCGCCGTCGCCGTCGGCCTTTCGGCGGTGGTGGATACGGCGGAGACGCGAGGTGATGGCCGGAATCTGACGTACAGCGGCGGCGGAGGAGGACAAGTGGCGGATTTGGGGCAAAGGAAAGGGGTTGAGAGAGGAATGGATGCGGAAACCATGATGCGCTTCTTCTGTTAGTAATTGTATTTGTGTGGTGTCAATTTGGTTGTGAATGTGATGGAAAGGAAAGGATATGGTGACAGTTGATGAGTGGTGATGAGCTGGGTGTATATGTAGGAAAGAGGAGAAGGATAGAGAGGTTGAATTGGAGCAAGAATCCGTCTTTGATTTTTCTCCTTGACTTCCTATTTGATAGACTATTGAGTTTACTTTTTATTTCAATTTTTATTTCAATTTTGATGATTTGAACAGTTTAAATTATAAAATTTATCATGTATATTATATTTATAAAAAATTAACTCAATCAGATATCAAAAATTATATAAATTAAAAGTTTATTAAATAATAAAATTATTTATTAAATTTTTTTAATAACTGATTTTTAGTTCTTCTGATATTCGATCAATTTAATTTTTTACAAATATGATATACGTGACAAATTCTAAAATGTGAACGGTTTGAATTATCTAAATTTGATCCAAAAGTGAATCTAATGGCCATCAAATAGAAAATCAAGGAAGAGAGGCAAGGAGGGGATCCTTGTTGTCAGGGTGGTGGAGGATGGTGATACCTATTTAGGGTCCGTTTGGGAAGAGCTTTTTCGGGCTTTTTTGGCTATTTTAGCCATAAAAGACAAAATAGGCTATTTTAGCCACAAAAAACAAAACATCACATCCAACACATAATCATTACACTCTTCTCTAAAAAAAAAATCAAAAAAGCCAAAAAGTCAAAAAATCCTTCCCAAACCAAGTTTTTTAGCCCAGGCTAAAATAGCCAAAAAAGTCAAAAAGCCAAAAAGCCAACCCACTTCCCAAACGGAGGCTAATGGAGTTGACTAAAAGCAACTCTTTTAAAATCCTTTATGAATTTAAACAAATTTAAATGGATTTAAAATAGATGAAAAGAATAATGTTATATGTATTAATTAGTATATTAATAAATGATGTGATATAATTTAAAAAAATTTAATATTTATAATTTATATAATAAATAAAATTAATAATAATATTATAATTAATATTAATACATTAATTAATATATATAACACCACCGAAATGAAAATAAACGGGTTGATTGTTTTGAGTCGACTATGTCACCTCTAATAACATGTATGGTTCTAAGATGAACAGTGAAGAGTAAAATATCACATATTATAAGTGCATTAAATGCTTTTGACTTCATCAAACTATTATTTCTCAATTAGAAAAATGTCTTGGGCCCAGTGGGGTGACTCCCAGTACCATCACTGTTTTTTGGTTAGTGTGTTTTTTATTTTATTTTATTTTATTTTATTTTTTTTGGGTTTTTGGCTTCTCTAACCGCCCCTACGTGGAGGTGGGGGGTGCTGAGGTCACCCCCACTGGGGTCCCCAGCATGACCGTTCTCAATTATTACCTATATGAGATCAATCCTCCTAAAAGGAAAAAAAAAGAAAAAAAATTCTTTCATAACCCGTTTATTTTGGGATTAAATAGATGAGAGGGGATTAAGATGGAGGTAGAATTATTTAGTATTGTATTTGTTTGTAGAGTTTGGGAGAGAATTAGGATGGAAGAGGTGATATAGATGGAGGTTAAAAGGGGAATTGAGATGGAAGAGGTAAAAATGGTATTAGAAAAATAGTGAGGAGATTAGAAATTTTTTTATTTATTTTTGTTTTTTATATATTGGGAATTTTTTTTAAATATTAATTTTTAATTTTTTATATTTATTTATTTGTTTTATTATTTTATATGAAAATAATTTAACAATGTCTACACTAACAACTATCATCAAAACAAATACAATTTTACTTAATCCCTTCACTAATAATTGCCTCACTATTAATCCTCTCACTATGAATCTTTTTATTTTACATCTGAAAACAAACGGGGTTATAGAAAATAGGAGGTGGATGTAATTCCTATGAGATAAAATAAACTAAATATTACACCCTAAACCAACGGAAAATGTTTGAGCGTGCAATCCTTAAAGTTGCACATTATAAGTAAGATGTATGTAAATTTGTGTAAATTTTTATAAAAATACGTAAATTATTTTAAAAAATTACGTAATTTAATTATAAATTTATGTAAGTTAACTTATAAAAATTTAAGAAATTACAACTTGGCGTAAGTTCTCACAAAACATACCTAAGTTACCTCACAAAATTGTGTAACTTAAACCCAAATTCATGTACGTTAACACATAAAAATTTGAGAAATAATAATTTAGCGTAAGTTCTCACAAGAGTAATGCTAGGGATACCAAAATTTCTCTTAAATGTCTCACATAGGGTGGGTCCCACATAAGTGTGGGGTCCACATCCTTGTGATACATTTGGTAAAATATTTGATAGAAATTTTGGAGCCTCTAATATTTTCCTTCTCACAAACATACACAAGTCACTTTACAAAATCGCATAACTTAACACAAATTCAAGTAAGTTAACTCATAAAACGTGTTGTAAATTCTAACAAAAAAATGAAAAATAGCTTGTTCCTCGAAACTCCCCAGGCTCGAATGGCTCGAAATCAAAACGACGTCGTTTTGATTTCGAGCCATTCGAGCCTGGGGAGTTTCGAGGAACAAGCTATTTTTCATTTTTTTGTTAGAATTTACAACACGTTTTATGAGTTAACTTACTTGAATTTGTGTTAAGTTATGCGATTTTGTAAAGTGACTTGTGTATGTTTGTGAGAAGGAAAATATTAGAGGCTCCAAAATTTCTATCAAATATTTTACCAAATGTATCACAAGGATGTGGACCCCACACTTATGTGGGACCCACCCTATGTGAGACATTTAAAAGAAATTTTGGTATCCCTAGCATTACTCTTGTGAGAACTTACGCTAAATTATTATTTCTCAAATTTTTATGTATTAACGTACATGAATTTGGGTTTAAGTTACACAATTTTGTGAGGTAACTTAGGTATGTTTTGTGAGAACTTACGCCAAGTTGTAATTTCTTAAATTTTTATAAGTTAACTTACATAAATTTATAATTAAATTACGTAATTTTTTAAAATAATTTACGTACTTTTATAAAAATTTACACAAATTTACATACATCTTACTTATAATGTGCAACTTTAAGGATTGCACGCTCAAACATTTTCCGTTGGTTTAGGGTGTAATATTTAGTTTATTTTATCTCATAGGAATTACATCCACCTCCTATTTTCTATAACCCCGTTTGTTTTCAGATGTAAAATAAAAAGATTCATAGTGAGAGGATTAATAGTGAGGGGATTGTTAGTGAGGGAATTAAGTAAAATTATATTTGTTTTGATGATAATTGTTAGCGTAGGAATTGTTAAATTATTTTTATATAAAATAATAAAACAAA